TAAGTATAATTTTTTTAAAATTAATAATTTAAGAGTTGTCAACAGAAAAATTGATTTTTTATTTGGGACACCCTCTATATTTTTAATTAACTGAAAAGAATTTAAAATTACCTTTCCAAAAATATAGCACACTTGATATTTTGTCATAATCCCCTTCGAAATGCAGAATTTTTAAAAGTTCGCCACTTTTAACTAGTAGGCTTTGGACCCCTTATTGATAATAAGCCCTTAATGGAACTCGAAAACATATTTTTCCAGCAAGACGACGCACCGCCTCTGAACGCTGAAGTTATCAGCAAATTTTTGCAGCCAATTTCAAGAATAATTGAATAGCTAAACCAAGATCCCAGCCGTTGACCGTCGAGGCCGCCTGACTTAGTGCCCGTGGATCTAATCCTATGGATATATTTGCGGAAGAATAAAGGTTCCTTATTTTTCCGTATAACCTAGACAAGGATTAGAAATAATTAGCAGTTATGAGAGGGTATCTTTCACCCTCACTGAGTTAATGAATTCCGCGAGAAATGTCCAAAAACTGCCCCGTCTGTCCATAACACAAGACGGTCGATATGTCGAACACCTGTAGCAGAATCTCATGTATTGGTTTGATATTTATTTTTATTGTTATTAGATACAGTTTAAATGTGTTGATGTTGCTTAAATATATTTTGAATTGTTATAAAATTCTGCATCTCTCATAGCAAATATTATTTTCGTTTTAATTGATGCTCACAGCTAGATTTTTTTTGCACTACAGCCGGTGCCGTTCAAAGCCTACTTTTTTAAAGCGGGCGAATTTTTATATACTCTATATCTCGAAGAGGAATCGAGCAACATATCAAGTGTGTTATATTTTTGGAAAGGCAATTTTAAATTCTTTTCAATAAATTAAAAATATACAGGGTGTCCCATATAAAAAATCAAATTTTCTGTTAATAATTCTTAAATTATTAATTTTAAAAAAATTATACTTAAACCATTAAATTCTACGTAAAAAGGAGCTTTGGAATTGTTTTCATAAAAATACAAAATTTTCCATAGCAAAAAAGTTACAGCGATTTGTTAAAAATGCATATTTTTGAAAAACACCCCGTAAGTCCAAAACGGTAACAGATATCGATATGCGGTTTTCACCATTATGTTTTTGACAAAAATTGAGCTCCAGACACCGATATTAGTTTTTGTCTATCTCTTATAGAAAAGGGTGTTTCCATTTAAAAGCGTCGAATTTGACCCACCCTGTACAGGGTGGCTCGAATTCGACGCTCATCATTGGGATTTCGGAAAACGTAAGATATACAGGATCGGTTAAATGGAGGCAAAGTTGCGCAATTTGATGCTCAATAAAAAGCCGTATTGCATTTTGAAAAATTCCGAACACTTCCGAATATATTCGAAAAAAAAAACCGGAATTTTCAATTTTGTTTTCTATTGTTCCTTGGCTTTATTTGTTAAGATCACTTAAAATGAAAAACACATTTTCATGGCCACTTTTCCTGCTCTATAACTCTGTGTGATTAAATATTGACTCTGACGTTTCGGCTTCTAGCGACAGTCATCAACTTAATTTTTTTAAATAGGGACCTGATTTTTTTTCAATTTAATTAAATCCTTTTATCACTCTTAAAACACTATATAATATAGTCACTTTGATATTTGCCGAAGTTTCGTACAGAAAATTCCAACACCAGAATATTTTATGCAAAAAATAAATAAAATAAAAATGCAATACGGCATTTTATTGAGCATCAAATTGCGCAACTTTGCCTCCATTTAACCGATCCTGTATCACTTACGGTTTCCGAAATCCCAATGATGAGCGTCGAATTCGAGCCACCCTGTACATATCTACTTTAGTCAGATGAGAGTTGTAGAATTCTCTACATTCTAAAGATGAGAGTTGAACGATATCATGCCTTTGACGGTTTGGTTATACAAGTTTTGTACAAGCTAGTAGAAAATATATAGCTAGGTGTGGAATGTACCATAACTATAAGGTTGCCAGATTTTTATAACTAAATTCCGGAAGGGCTAAAAAGACGCTCTCGAAAAACGAAGGTAGTTATATACAGGGTGGTCCGAGTTGTTTTCGGGAAACTTCGACAACATATTTATTCTGCAGATAAAAATAAGTAAAAAAGTTTGAATAAATTTATGTCCTAAAATGCTTCGTTTGGGAGATACGGGGTGTAGAAGTTTCATTTGTATTTCGATTTATTATTCACAACCAAACCAAACCAAACTAACGTCAAAATTTGGATGAAAATTGGTACCTGGGTGTTTTTAGACATTACAAATTTGATTTCGATGTCAATATGACTCCTATTTGTATGGGCACCACCTACGTGCTTTTTTACTAATTTGAAGTTAAATCTTGAGTAGAAAAATATAAATTATTAAAAATAATAAAGTTTTTTAGTTAAAAATATATAGATATTTTTATTTTTACTAATTAATCATACATTTTTCTAGAAAACAATATGAAACAATTTCTGTTGATCCTTTGGCACAAAAACCTTTCCAAATTTATTATTTCAGTCTCTTAACTATCTACTTTTAGGGGAGGGTAATGGGGGTAATTAGTCCCCCACCCCTCCAGGCCGATTAAACTTCAAAAAAATAAGTTTTATAAAAAATAGTTTTTTGCGTGAAGCAAATAGTTTTTGACGCGTGAAAAAATAGATTTTTTATGTGTAACAAATAGTTTTACACGGAAACATATACGAGTATTTTTACACGCAAAAAACTATTTTTTAAGTGTAAAAAACTATTTGTTACACGTAAAAAACTATTTTTAACGCCTAAAAAATATGTTTTTTAATTTATTACTTTTCAACATTTTAAACTACACTTTTTCAAACGTGTCCTTCAAATTCTTTAATTTAATAGCTGTTAGTAAGACGTTTTACTTCAAATATGCGCACATAGTGCATACACTGTTTTTTTATTGCTTAAAAAAAGATATGCAAATAATACTGTTATTACCTTTGTCCATGCCGCTTTAGCAAAATTAATTGAGTAGAACTAGTTTACCAAAATTCTTACTCACTTGTTTCCAGGATTCACAGCTTGATAACATAATTTAAGTTACACTAACCTAAAGAAAACAAAAAAATATTAAAATTAAAATAACATCCAGTGTGTAAGTTTTACCCTTGTTTATCCATAATCAAGGGTTTTGCTGTTACTCAAAATGGCACGAAATATTGCTTATTACCTTATATCCTTGTTTATATATTTAGAAGAAAAGATCCATATCGCAGCTAAAGTACCATTTTTCTACTGTATAGGTAACCATAGAAGTAACTTCCCTACAAGGCAAAAAATAAAATAAACATTGAGATTACATAAAACCGTATAAAACGTTGAGATATCAGAGTAATCGATAATTTTTAGCAATGATCGAAAAAACTCACAACAATTTTACGGAAACAAATTGCTGAAATGATTGCATTCCATCTTTCACTCCGTCGAAATTTTTGTTCGATGCAGTCTGCAAAAATTCTATCGCGTTGCCATGAACATCATAACCATAACATGATGGCTGATGATGGACATGACATTCGTTGCCGACGCGTCACCGTAAATGTTATTAAAAACTCGACAACAAATTAATCAAAATGACGCTCCTAAATAGGTATTTCGATAAACTTACTCCTTTAATAGACATAACAGACTCCCTAGGAAAATCATTTTATGAAACAAAATCACTACGCGTATTTCCACAAAAATATCGAAAAAAAAAACAAAATATTTTTGACAGGACTCTTGCCCTGCTGTTTATTCACCACTTTCAAAATCGCCAAAATCTTTATAGCTGCTTTATAGCTTTTTTGTAGTGTGCTGCGACCAAAGCTGCGACTGATTGACAAACTCTTATCTCTGCTCTTATGTAAAATTGGCGATTTTTGTTACCGTAAATACCTAAATGCTTTTAGAATAAAAATGAAAAAGATTTTTATGAAAAGATTGTTTGTAATTTGTTCCTTATGTATTTAAAAGTATTTATATAGGTATATAATAATATTGTTAGTTGTTATTTAACAAATATTACCTATTGTAGAAAATCATCATGTATGTAAAACTTTATTTCATTTTAATATTATTTAAGTATGTTATCGTTAGTCGTTAGTAATTTGGTACCTACAATATTTTGCAAAAATAATTATGACAATATAAAAATAATGCAAAAACCTAACGTCTTACCTCAAGGTTTACGATTATGAAATAAATTAAAATAGTTTTGACCGTTATAAGATATGGAAATGGTTCTGAAATGGTTTTACAGACATTATGAACCCAAACCAGCCCAAACCCAAATGAAGCTAAAATTTTATGTTAAGATTAGTATCGCCATCTACACAGATATAGCTAAACTAATGGCATAAGGCTTTATTTGCGGCTTCATATAAAGAGCACTCTAATATAAGTCCCTATTTGAAATAGCTATCCGTAGTTGCCAAAGTGTGCCAAACTAAAGACGTCTAAATTGAAGTAGATCTCCGAGAGGTCTGGAGAGGTGTCCCCATAATTATTTATTGAATGAATATAAAAAAAAGTTCAGAATCAGAAATGATATTATTAGGATAATAAATTATAAAATATTAATTTAAAATTATTCGATTTAGGATGACAATCATGAAGAAAATGTTCCATGTTCCATGTTGAAAATATTTTGAAAGTGACTTGGTGACTTCAACAAAGATGTTATGGGAGTCTTTTAGATAACTTGATCATTAAAAGTTTTTGCGATCTATTTTGGACACAAATTTAAATATTTTAAGCTAAAGGTTATTTTCAGGTGTCGGTAGGTGTACTTTCTTTTTAAAATATTTTCCAATCTTTTGCATTTCCGGTTTAACCGAACTACGGAACTACACAGATCTATACATATTCCCGAGTTTTCATTTTTAATGCTACAGCTGACAACAGTGCAATTGTCATTGTCAAGAACGTCAACGCGATAAATTGTCAAAGATGTCAAGTGATCAAGTGTCAAAGTGAAGAAGATGACATCTCGAAACGTTTATGCGTCTATTGTAGATATTTATATTATGTAGTTTAAAAAGAAAAAATATTTTATTAGCTAAATTAAGCCAAAGAAAATGTGGTTTATTAAAGGATGTATCCAACGTCTTTGTCAGATTGATGGTATTGATTACAATTTAAGTTAACAAAACGAAACTAACCATCGAACCTTTCCAAGGTATGGGTTAGATAAAGAATAACCTTGGCCCTTTTGTTTATTTACATAATAAAACAAATTATACTGTTAGATTTATTTTCATAATTTATAAATGTGCAAATGAAGAAATAAATTTACTTTGGAACATTATTATTTAAGTAGTCATTTTTTCTGTAGGTATTTCATTAAAGGCCTTTAAAAGTTTTCATAAAAAATCTCAGTAAAAATGGGCTGCGTTAACAGCAAAGCAGATATCAATGATACACATCCAAATCTCTTTCATGTAATTAATGTAAATGATCGAGGTAGACCTGTTAGTAGAGGAAAACTGGAGGTATGATAATTTATTTTTTGAAAAAAAATTGTAGTATTTATGTATTACATATATTTTAGGTGACAGAAAGTGAACTAATTTTTCATCAGAAAGGAAAGAATCCTATTAAATGGCCACTCCGATCATTACGAAAATATGGATGGGATGTTGATACTGATGTATTTAGCATAGAATGTGGTAGGCGCAGTCCAACAGGGCCAGGTTATTATGCTTTTAAATGTAAGAAAGCTGAACAACTGTTTAATATGGTACAGCAATATATTTTAGGTAATAAAATAGTTTATTAATATGCTTAGGTTAGGAATACAGACATAAGTAAGAATATAGTTATAAAGATATAAATTATTTATTTTTTGGTAGGAGGAATTCAAGAGAGCATGGAGAATTCTAATCATGCAAATCCATTGAATCAAAACACTGAATTTTCCGTCCCAGCTGTATTAACAGGACAAGGACCACCAATTCAACGACAGTCAGAAGGACACGCTGTTTATACTCAGAATGATTCTAGTCATCTAAACCCTACTCATTCAATTTCAAGGTGGTTATGAAATAAATATCTTCACTAAAATAATAATGTTTATGTTTGTAGATCCCATACTGGAATACTGAGTCGCCCTGGTTCAGTATCGAGGTTAGATAGAACTTGATATCGACATAAATATTATTTATTATTTGTAAATTTTTAGTAATGGGGGACAATTAAGTCCTACAACAATATCTCCACCACCAGTTATCACAGAAAATCCTTCATTAGAACATAACAACAATAAAAGGAACACTGTGTTGGTGGAAAATGGCATTGGGCCTCCTAATTATGCCAATTTAAATCCCTGTGATATAAGTATGTTATGGTACAAAGTACTTATTGAAAATATGTTAAAAACTGATTATTGTTCCACAGCTGATACTACTAACCATGTCTATATGAATGTTGATGCCAAAACAATAGTGAGCAACTTAAACCAAAGTAATTTTGTAGAGAATAGGGAAAGTCATAGAGAATTTGTTGAAGAAATACATTCTTATGCAAATATAGACAATCGAGATGTAGAAAATTTAAATTTTCGACAGGTAAAATACTCTATATTGAAGAAAGATATATTTTACATTGTTATATTTTTACAGCAACTAAATACTGTTACAAATGTAATTTTACCAAATCATGGAGATATAGTTCAAATGTACACAAGCAATAGTGTACCTTGTACTCCTACCATATACAATGATACTGAATATGTTATGGTACGAGAAGTAAATTATGCTGAATTAGACTTGGATTCTAATAAAAATAATAGTGGTACATGCTCAAATGATTACCCTCAAAACCAAATACAAGATACCAAAGTTACCAGACTACAAGAAAGTCCTAGCATGAAGAAGAAAAGTTATGCTACCATTGATTTTCCTAAAACTATTGCTCTTAGCCAAAGCATTAATCCTAAAGCAGAAATGGAAGAAGGTAGTCGTAAAACACGACACAATTCCACAATAAACTCTCTGAGTGATTAGCTGGGTAGGTGTTAAGTAAAAAAATGTGTTAAGTATAGATTTTTAGTATATAAAGTTACAGCCATATACATAAAAAAAACTACAAGATATATTGACTGAGAGAATTGAGTATGAGTATTTGTGTATTTTGATATAAAAAAATATAAAAATTGAGTTTATATGTACAGGGTGGGCCAACTTGGACGCTTTTAAAGGGAAACATCTTTTTCTATAGGAGATAGATGAAAACTAATACCTGTGTAGAGCTTAATTTTTGTCAAAAACATGATCTGTTACCGTTTCGGAGTTACGGGGTGTTTTTCAAAAATGTGCATTTTAACAAATTGCTGTAACTTTTGTGCTATGAAAAATTTTGTATTCTGATGAAAACATTTTCAAAGCACCTTTGAAAAACACTGAAACCTTACATTTTAGTCATACTTCTCTTATAAAAACTCACCTTTATTTTTCTCCCAGAATCCGAAAATCAATTAATATATATGGTGTTCCCTTACAAAAAAAAACACAACTTTGATATGTAATTTTTTTTGTGGACACTCTGTAGAACTCTCTATATTTTTAAAAACTGCTGTGAATTAACCTATATATGCTCACAAAATTTAATTTCAATACAAACTGTCGTTCCCGTTGGAGCCTCCGCGTCGTATGAGAGGCGCCACCCTGTATAAATCTCTTCTATAATTTGAGGCATAATATCTTTTAAGAGAATATGTGCCTCTTTTTTCATACTGCTTGTTTCAAGACAATTATATTATCATATGAAAATTTTAAGTACGTTCCGAAATTAGTAATTGAAGGCGTTGCGATTTAAATAATTTGGAGTAGATATATCTGGTCTTTATTCATTTTGGTTGTGTTTCAATTTTGAGTGATATCCTTCAACACGATGATAACAACAAAAATGGCATAAAAGTAAATTGAGAGTTACTAGTGCAGTGATTTGTGAACCATAAGGTTATTCAAAATATATAATTTATACCATTTTCACGTGAGAGAAAGAGTACGACAATATAATTATAACATAACGTTCAACAATGATATATTGCACATGTATGCTGGTCACTGCACAGCTACATTATGTAATTGTCTGATGTGTTCATTTGTATAGGCTTGGTGCATTCTCCGCCGCGCCGCGCTGGTGCTTGGTGCAGTATATGAAAAATTTATTATATAATTATTCTACAAGTGTGAAGAACTAAAATTTGTGAAAATTCTAAAAATAAAAAAGGAAATATTTTGATATCTTCACAAGGTCTTAACTTGTATTATAATTTATTATTCCAGCTAAAAAAAAAATTAAATGGAATAAATAAAGGTACATAATTATATACTAATAAAGGTACATAATTATAATTTTAGAAGATGTTTATAAAACATTTAATCACTAGTTGATTAAAAAAGTATATCATTAATATTGCAAATTATTTTATCCTCTCAGAGTATATGTCTATTTAATTTTTTGATTATGTAACAACTGCTTGAATCCATTTTAGCTTTTAATCAAATCGGTGTGAGAAACTATGAACCTACAAAGTGTTGTTTCGGGAGAGTTGAATATCCGGGAAAGTTGAGTTATTGAATGTTATTGCATCCAACAACGGCCTAATTACGCCCTCCTTTACGCGTTAACATTTTTTCGGCAATTTTATGTACAAATGAAATTGTCCCAACATAACACGACGGCGACGCCTAGTTCGGATTCTTTTTCACTTATTTTTTACTACCCGAAACAGCGTTACATCACACAAACCTCGTACGTCAGTGTTTTATAGTTTCAATAACTGCACTCGCAAAAAAACGAAAATACTTTAATATTATGACAAAGCCACGATTTCAATATTTTAATGCGATCAACATGAACTGTAACCGGGACGGCGTGAAATACATAGCGAAAATTTCTGATTTCTGCCGTATACTGCGCTGTGGTCGGAATTTTTTGAAATCAACTGTAATGCACCACGCCTATGCATGAACCCACCATTATGGTGGGTTCATGCTTCCGATCTTAGCCCTAACACTAACATTAGTCCTAACCCCGAGAATATGAATCAACGTTAACGAACGCTAGCGTTCATGCTCTCGTTGTATCGGCCCTAACATTAGCCTTAGTCCTAACAGGTTGGGATATTTTATATTCTTAGGGCTAATGCTAATTCAAAACTGAATCGCGCATGCTCAAAGCTAGGAGTTTTAAGAATTCTCGAAATAATTTCTGACATGTTGAATTTGACGGTTTATAAATGTAAATATATTATATATTGCTCAAAGCTAGGAGTTTTAAGAATTCTCGAAATAATTTCTGACATGTTGAATTTGACGGTTTATAAATGTAAATATATTATATATTTTTTTGTTTAGAAATTATTAATGTAAAAATTAGTTTTTCTGGTATTAGAAATTTTAAAAATAATTGTGAATTTAGGTTAGTTCAAAACATATGTTTTATATGAGCGCAAGCGCTTACGAGAATATTGATTATTTTCTTAAGACAAGTAGGAGAAGTATGAACGGCCTTTCCTTAAGTTCTCAAGGTTAATTTCTTAGGGTTAATGTTAAGGGTAAGGTTAGGGCTAATACTCGAAGTATGAACCCACCATAATGTATTTAACTTTATTTCATTTGTCATACATGCATGCATGTCACTTATTTCAATTGTTATACATGCAATGGATGATACACAATGCTCGTCTATGGACATTTTAGATTTAACAACAAACATATTTTTAATGAAAAGCTAAATTATGTTCAACAATACACATCGAAATAATGGAAAATATTATCTTGACTAATTTTTATATATTTTTTATTAGTTGCCAAAATATTTTACCGACTATAAATTTTAGAAAAACACATTATTATTTTACTAAGATGTTTTGATATTATTCCTAACTGTATTGCATATATGTATGTAAAAGTTGATATGCAATTTTTCAGAATTTATACCGTGTACTATTTTTTATTGCCTTGTATTATTTTTATGTATATATATTGACCTATGATAAATGTTTTAAACTGAGAAACTAAATAAAGGGAAATCATTTCCAATGCCAAAACTTGTACAAATAAATACTTTATATTAAGGGTTTATATACATACATATATAAAAATCTTCTTATTACTTCTTCAAATTACATGCTAGAAATTGATGTATATGAGATATTTATGTTTTAAATGAGATTTTAAATATAGATTGGCCTAATTTAAAGAAACGTGTAACTGTAGAAAAGAGATAATAATATTTTTTGGCTTGTAATTATTAAAATAATTTACAATTGATAGATATAAACTGCTTTCTATTTAGATGATACTTGCGATTTAGAAGATTAATCTACCGGGTGGTGCATCGGTCCCCATTGATTTTTCAGCAAAGTCGTAAATAGATTTTTTAAAGGTCTGGGTATGCTGAAAACACATGCCAAATTTTAATAATTTTGGGCAAGTCGTTTTTAACAAATTTAAGAAAAACTGCATCTATTTTTAAATTCAAACTGAACAGGTGACAATGCAAAACCAGGTAAATTCCAACATACCTTAACTTGTCAATTTATAATTTAGTCAATGTCATATTATTATATTTCCTAAACCTTAGATTTTTTCCTAAACGTTGCTGTTAAAGAGGTGGTGACTCATCCGTAGGCTCCAAAATGATGGCGTCTAACGTGTCCTTGTATTCTTTAGTCATTGCTGATGAAGTGATGACACATAATAATGTGAAAATTATTTTTCAAATGTCAAGCCATTGTCAAGCTTATGGAGTCAGTGTGCAGCCACACTATCCTAAAAACGGCGTATCGGCGTAACGGCGTAATGACCTTGAATAGATTTCCAGTAATTCTATTGGCTGAAACATTCATCTGTCAGAAATTTTATCTGTCAAATTCATCTGTCAAAAATTTCAGCCAATAGAATTACTGGAAATCGATTCAAGGTCGTTACGCCGTTACGCCGATAAGCCGTTTTTAGGATAGTGTGGCTGCACCCTCAAGCTCAATGATTTGACATAACTTTTGAGGTTAGGTACTACTTCTTCCCTATTTTAGTTCTTTTTTTATTAGTGGCAATTGAACAATATGGATATTCCGCCCCCCCCCCCAGCTCTATAAATTGGGTTAAATATTAGCCTTTTGGGTTAAGAATGGCGCACTAATAAGCATATTCTACATTACTTTTTTATTTGGACCCCCCCCTAAAATAAATTTCTGTCTCCGCCCCTGCATTTACTTGATTTGCATTGTTACCTGTTCAATTTTAATTTAAAAATAGATGCAGTTTTTCTTAAATTAGCTAAAAGCGGCTTGTTTAAGATAATTGTTCAAATTTGACATGTGTATTCAGCTTCCGTAGACCTGTAATAAACCTATATTTATGACTTCGCTGTGAAATCAACAGGGGAACCAATATTTGGACAGTTCACATTTTGCATGGGATTTGTTATTTTTCCAACGACGATGCACCACCCAAGTTTAGTTTATATAAATATTTTAATACAGTGACCCTAATTGCTACAGTTGTCTCAGTGGAAAGCAGGTGTAGTTCAGATCTTTCAGGAAACGACGAATAAAATGCATTTGTAAAAAGAATATGCTCAACATGTTCAAACATTATTCTAACAATACAATATAGTGATTTAGCTATGCAGAAGGGAAACTAGCAACATCAATATTAATAAAAATATTTCTGTATTTGTATCAGCTGAGTTTACTATATTGTTTGTTTTATATTATATCTTTAAAAGTTACAAATTGTCCAACTATTCTGATCATTGTCCAACAAAATGATAATTTTATTGTAAATTTGAATGACACTGTCTAAACGGTTTGTGTGTTCCCTAACGGTAGTAGATCAGTGATATTTTTATATCGTTGTGTTATATGTTGTAAAACAACAAAATGTAGACGGTCCCACAACGGTCTTCTGTATTTATTATTTTACTTTTACTAAATATTGCTGAAATATTTGATTCCTTTAATTTGAAACAGATAGCAGTTGCAATTTTATGTACACATTTACTTTTGTTCCATTGTTTTGGTTCCATTTGAAAAATACGATTTGGGCATTTTTTAACCGACACACACTAAAAACATTAGAATATCAAATTTATTTTTACAAAGGCTCCTTGATTAAGAATTAGTATTATTGACTTAGTCATATATACTAACGTACCAAATCGCGATTTTTTATCTGAAGAAATAAAAAAGTTGGGTGAGCCACTTTTGAGAAGCACCCGGTATAAAAATTGATATAAAACGTCGAATTTTGTCCCAAACGAGTGTATTTAATCGGCCAAAGATTTAATCGGCAGGCTAACATACGAGAGTTTTGGTACGTGACAGGCCAAGTCTGAGGACTAAATACACGGGCCAAATCTTCTGGTGTATGGATGACTATTAGAATTTAAAATCATATCTGAATTCGTTTTTTTTTAGTTTTTTCTTATAATTTTTTTTATCTTAGTTATTTTTTTAATGGTGCCCGGTGGCGTAGAGGTACTGGCTCTCGTCTACCAATCTCAAGGTTGTGGGTTCGAATCCCACACCCGGCATTTCATCAGCCCACTATTTTCATTAAAATAAAAATAGGTTGGCTACCTAGGTCGACTCAGCCTTAAACGAGTATTTGGGATTCACAATCCTGAGGTAATAATAGGCTGTTGAAACGTAGTGCTAGCCACATTACCTTTCTTGTATACCGAACGGCTCTAGCATGGCAAGCTGTACCTTGCTACTCCCAAGGCGTTAAACGCTATATACGGGAGCTATTATTATTATTAAGTTTTAAGTAGCAAAATATTTAATATTTAGTTATTTTTTGATATATTAACGGTTCAACCGTTCAACCCTTGCTGCAATAATACTTATTTTAAACACTTTCTTGGACGATTTAAGTTTTTTATGGTCTAAAGCCGATTTTTTGCTGCTATAGTCTGTCCAACGACAAGATCCTTGACAGTGATAAATGTGTCTGTCATTTTAATTTCATAGTAGTTTATTTTATTTTACAAAGAAATAAGTTAGTGCAACTGGAACGCATAGCAGGAAATTAATATATTTAAAATTTGACTGATAAGTGGTTACTTCAAAATATTGTGAAAAAAAACTGTATAAAACTTGTATAAAACTAAAAAGATGTAATCGAGTTATTTTATTTAAAAAAACGGTATGTGTTAATACAAAACAAACAAGAACAAAACACCACATACCAAAAAAATATAAAAAAGACCTTCTTACTATCAAGCTTCAAGAAACTTCCCGCATTATTTAGTATTATATTTATCAATATAATTTATGTACAAATACAAATTTGTAATATTCCACAGGAATAAATAGAACAAACTATTTTATTAATAATAACACTTAAAATTTTATACCTTAAAAAGGTTGATTAATTAACTTTAATCTTAATTTTTTTAAACCAGTACCTTTTGACATTATTTTTCTGCAGTACTAAACTCCATTATTTACCTATCGTGTGATGTCGATTTTTTACAGCTACTCCAGTCTCCAGTAGTATATGTTTAGCACGATCCTTGTAGCATATATAAGATGCGCTTATCTACGACGAGATGATATACAATCTTTATTGATGGTAACTTTATTGGGGTGTATAAGACTTTCTGTCTGAGCAGCGAGTATTAACTATAAACCTGCTCTGGGTCTACAGTTAATTTTCCCTCGATTTTTCCTCCACTTGACTTCAAAAGACACAAAACACACGTAATAATACGAATCAAAATGCATCATCTTCCAAAACACAGATATTTGACATAAGTCTGACATACATAAGTTGCCACAAAATTATAACCTATAATTTGGCAAGACTTTAGCTTTTTTCGTTTTCCTGTTATTACCGATTCTGAACCGTCCTAGAACTCTGCAGCGCATGCGCAAATTAAATAATGTCTTCATATTTCCTTCTGCGCATACGCATCACAGTTCTAAGACGGTTCAGAATCGGTAATAACAGGAAAACGAAAAAAGCTTTTGTGTCCGTTTGTCGTTCATCGTTCCGCCAAACCAATAAAATTGAAATATGATCTGTCATTTTTGAAATAAACCAATAAAACTGGTTAAAAACAAAAGAGACGACACATGACGAATTTATATTTAAACTCATCCATAGTTAACTTAAAAAATATTAGAAACTTTTATTAGTAAAATAAATAGATTGGTATGGGACGTCATCTGCTTTTCTTTTGTCGTCGTCTGTCGAAATCTTACCTGAGAAAAAAAACAGAGTATAGTTTATCCTTTTGTACATTAGATTTAATAATAAAAAATGGAATCTCTGATTGGTCTGAGTATTCGAAAGACCTGATGGGGCGAACTTATACTCTTCTTTGTGCTTATGCGTTGATCTTAATAGTTGGAAGGTATGTAGCTATATTTGTAAGATGTTAAATGTTATTAAAATATATAACATGTTATTAAATGTATGAGATCGAATTATATTGTAAATAATTTTTTGAAAAAAGATATTCAGAAATAATATAATTTGATGGGACTTGTTAGTATATAAGGTTAGCCAAAGTTAGAACTTCATGTTGCAGAACACTTAACAATAACGTTTATCTAAAAAATGTGAGATTTTATATTATAAGAAGTATAATAATTATTCTGTAAGATATACATAGTTTGAATACCAAAGATATTATTAATAAGTATAGGGTTTTAAAAGAGTATGTGATTATGCTATTATATTTATACTGTATATGATGTAGTTGTATAGATTTTTTTTGTAAAAATATATTGATAATGTTATTGTGTATAATTATAGAAAATGAACAATATACAGCTTGTTAAAATTGGAGATTAGAGCCTGGTAAATAAAAATGGTGCCAGTATGTGTTACAAGTATTCTACCAAAGCAAAAAGTCCATGCCAAAATTTAGATTAGAAATAGTGTAAAAAGAATTATAAATACTGTATTAACTTTTAAATAAAGATAATTTTCCTATATTTTGGGTAATATTCTATATTTATAATCTAATTTAACAAAACTTTTACATTATCTGTGACAACTGAACATACATGGTAAGTTAAGTTTTTTATAGGCTAGTATTCAATAATTACTACTGGCAATACTTTAATGGAAATTCCTGCTCAAGTTTTAAAATAATATTTATATATAATAATATAAAATGAATTTAAAATATTGGCTTAGTTAAAAATTTAAATATTTAATTGATAATGGTTAGGTCGCCCGTGGTGGGCGAGTTTTTATGCATATTATAGAAAATTGCAGCTTTAAAGCCAACTTTACGCCGTTTTTTTTTAGTTCACAAGGTATATGGTTTGATTATTTCCTTTTAACTGAAAATTCAAATATCTTCTTTTAATACACAACAGCAGGCTGTATCTAATCTCACTTCATATGTGACTAATATTTATCAAAAATTGAATTTTTGTATTTGTCCTTGTAATCCATTTTTATATAAACCATGCAGATATCAACCGTTCATAAATAACCACATTATAATTTAGTTTGATACGGTGTTTGCTGTGAAATAGATTGGTGTATGTATTTTTGTGATTAATATGAGTAATCAAATTCTAGACAATCCATTACGGCATTTTCCATTAAAAGTTAGAAATCATCTATTTAATTTTGCTATTATAATACAACAATTGAAGGAGAAGACAAATATTAATTATGTGTATGTGGACCCCAGCTGTAAATGGTCTGATGTGTTTATAATCCATCAGCTTAAGACAACACAACGATTTTATTGGGCATGCATTGAAAGTGATTCTTGTTACCAAGATAAATACATTGAATTCAATATGGTAACATTTTTACAAAAATATTTTAATTGCTTTAAAGTAAATCAGATTAGGAATGTTCAGTCATTTGATGTGTATACAACACTACTATTTCAATTTAAACCTTGGTTTAAGGAGAGCTTAGAGATAGATGATATACCAATTTCTGGACATTTTACCTGCTGGGCACTTTCACAAGAAACGGTACAAGAACTAAAAGAGATTTTTCTCAAATATTATCCAACATCTTTGGATCGTACATTATATTTCAACTTTCTCGAGAAATTTAGAATTATAAATTATTTTCAAGCAACAATTACGACACAACTCTATTTCTATTTAAATATTGATAAACGCTACATCAATTTGGAAAAGACAGCTATTATGTTTATGTCAAGTACTGCGAATTGGTTTCTCGAGAAAATAGGAAAAATGCAAGATCATTTACTGGTAAAAAATGTTGACCGTTGGATAAAGAACTTTGAAAATAACTTTAGTAACCTTGACGTTGTTAATATGTCTAAATGGAATTTGAGCTGTTTGCAGCAGTGCCAAGTAGGATTTGGACCACACTATCCTGAAGAATGGATACAATTTCTCGATGATACGAAACAGCAAATACTTTATGTCGTTACTGAATCAACATTCTTGACTTCTTTAAGATTCGTCCAATTTCTTTCAAAGAAAAGAGATTTTTTGTTTCTATCTACTAAGCAGTTAGGACACACTGAAATATCATCGAAAGCTGCTAAGTGGTTGTATAAGAAAGATAATGGTTTGTTACTAATAGAATATGAAGGAGTAATTCACCGTCGTGGACCCATATCTGGAGATATATCTATTGTTGCAGGAAACCGAAAGAAAATTGTGAGCATCTGCAGTCATAAAGAATCATTTTACGATATGTTAAAAAGTAGAAAGCATATTTCAAATTGCTTATGTATCAGTGATAACATCTCGCTAGCTGATATGGATGAACAAACTAAACAGGATTTGTTTAGCAATACTGAATTGTCATTTCAGGGACACCATGTATATTTAAAGGAAATTGTAGATAGCACAGTCGAAAAAATATTAGATATGAAAATTTTGGAAAAGTTAGTCAACGGGGGCGAGCTAGAATTTGGTAATAAGTTACCAACGGAAGATTCATATTTCATTCCGAGAACCTTAAGAAGACCTTTTATATCTAAGCAAACCCTTGCAAATAGTGTATGGTCATCTAATGCAGTTGTAGTTTTTCAAGCAACTGAAGAAGATTTTGATGGATTTAATCTTCAAATTACACGTTGGGAAAGTAAGAACAAAAATTGCAAACCCGGAATTTTTTTATTCCCTAAATATAGTGAAAAAAGAATACATGATTATGAAGACATAAATATTTATTGGATGCACCATAAATCTGGATTGTTATTTATAGAAAAAATTAGTCAACATAACAGTGATATTCTAGATATCTTTGACGACATACAATATTCGGAAAAGATAAGTATCTCCGATTTATGTTCCAACTGGAACGTTCAATACAAAATAAATATTATTGCAGATTATCCAGGAAGTGGTAAAACAGTATTTCTCAAACATTTTGCTACTGAGCTTAAAAAACACATTCCTTACATCTGGGTTATACATGTAAATTTTAGCAACGACACTAATGCTGTAATGTTAATATACAGGTGTTTTGAAAAAAACAATATTTTGAATCCTGAAGACGCTGCAGAATGGATTGTAGAATATGTGAGCAAATTAGATGTTAAAGAATGGCGATGTGAAGAGAAACTTTTGTATTTATCACTAATTTCAGTAAAAGATCAGCATCGTCATCCTACCACGGTGCTTTTGTTTGACGCCTTTGACGAATTAATTCCAAGTCATCAGATTAAAGCGATAAGAATGTTTCGTGCTTTAGCATCTAGAAATAATGTTCTTTGGATTACGTGTAGACTTCACCAGCAAGGTTATCTAGAAAAGGAATTACACAGCTCAGCTTATCGATTGAATCCCCTAACATGCAGCGAATCGAACATGTACTGGAATAGGCTTTTGGATATGAAGAATAATGTGAAAGACCTACATGATATTCCTTTTTTGAAGTCTGTTGATATCGTCGATGGAATTCCATTTAGTGGGAATCCGTTGCATGTTAATTTACTTTCACAAATAGTCGGTAACAATTTACATCAAATTATGCCGTTACCAGTTATATTTAAGAAGTTTATTCAACTAAAAGTTCAACTTTATTACTCCAGTAAAGTACCATACAAGGGAATGAAATCTACAAAGAATAGTGAGGGTTTGATAAATGGTCACATCTATATTGCAGTGAAAGAATGCATTCCAGGCATCAGAGAGAAATATCATCCGATTACACAGGAAGAGTATTTGAGAGTTGGATTATTAATTTGCAATAAAAATAAATTAACCTTTCTTCATAGTTCTGTGAGAGATTATTTAGTTGCGGCATACATTTCTCGTAATGCTTCGAACATTCCCATATCTGCTGGCGAGGATTTCTTTTCTGAAGATAAGTTTCTGCAATTAAGAATATTCTTAAACACTATGCTGAACCGTACAAGTCTTTGCTTAATTCCGAGTAAGAGATATAATTCCATCGATATGCTTAAAAAAATAGTTAATGAAGGTAACAATAATCTTGCTAAATTGCTACTTGATAAGATATGTTAAAGATTATATATACATATATGTAACCATATATGATTTTTAATAAATGTGGAATCATGGAATAGATAATAATAGATGTAGGTAATATGGGTAATATGTAACATTATAGTCAACAGTCTGATATATTCAGTAGCTATATATGCTGATGAACTATTTTTTGTTAATTATATATTTATAATAGATATTTACGATGCAAGTGCGTTAACAGCCTCATTAAGATACGCGTGTGAAAGTTGCACATCGAGTGCGTAGCACGAGTTGTGTAACCACAAAAGTATCTTAATGGAGTTAACTCGCGTGTATTGTACAATATTTTATCTACGTCTAACTATAAAAACACACAATGGATTTTAAAAATATTTTTAACTAAAATAAAAAAATAAAAATACATTGTAGGTAATTATATATCGAGAAACTATTGTTACGGGGGCTCGTTGAATTTGACACTTTATGTCAGTTTAATAATAAATTATAATAAATAAATTTTCATGTTTTTATAATTATTATCAATAGAACAGTTTATTTGTATTTAGTACGTACCTATTTAGTGTAAATTAAATGTTTTAAAAATATTTTTTTCTCTTTGGTAGTCATCTAAACAAGGAATGCGGCAATGAAAATGCATGAGTTAAGAAGCTCTTAACTCACTCAAAATGCGTGAGTTAAGAACTTCTTAACTCACTGACGTAGATAAAATTAATTATAGTATTTATAATATTCAGCCTGCTTTTTAGATAGGTATAGGTAGTTTATACAAGTTTTAGGAAGTGTTAGGACACACAATTTTAAAATTACTCCTTAGTATACAGGATGCTTCAACAAATTTGGTGGCATATATCTGTGTGTAGCATTCTACATTCTAAAAATACTGTATGATGGAAAAAAACGGCGTCCATTTGGCTGGGAAACGACGATCGATGACATTTCCCATATAAATTTACATATAAAACGACAGCGATCTTCATTTCATAGCCATCGCTGACGCCGTTTTTTTCTATCATACGGTACCCGGTACCATGTACCATCATGTCATAATTTATGTACCTCTGTATATGCATATAAATATCTATGAGATTAAATTTTATACACATTCAAAGCTAACATATTTTTAATTACTATTGATTCTTTTAACTGGATATATTTAAACATACCGGGTGCGTTTGAAAAGTGGCTCACCTCGATAACTTTTTTTTTCAGATAAAACAACGAGATTTGATATGTTAGTATGTGACATAAATTTGGATTGAGTGACATATTCAGTTGTTTTCGGTCACTTGAAATCACGTGAAATGAATACAACTTTTGGTTTTTAAATGACACCCTTATTGGTATAAATGAAAAAAATTCAAGTACTTATTTCCGGTGAAACAGCAAGTGACCGAAAACAACTGAATACGTCAGTCAATCCTAATTTATGTCATAGACTAACATACCAAGTCTCCGTTTTTTTTGGTCTGGAGAAATAAAAAAAGTATAAGGTTGAGCCACTTTTGAAACGCACCCGGTATAGTTGTCTTCTTCATAAGAAAAACCCGAAGTAAGCTAGTGTAAGTTATCTATTAATTTGCGTTGAAATAATGAGCCTCTTATCTCAATGGAATTGGTGATTGACTTACACTGAATATATAATGACTTCTGAACCCGCAATGTATACACATACATATATAATGGAAAGTCTGCCAAGGACAGTGAAAATGTGACACACTGAAATATATGCCATGCAATATAGTGAATTTCAATAATATATTTTGAAATGGACGTTTTTATAAAATATTTCCATAAACAATTTGCTATTTTATTAATTTTGAGAAAGTCACAAAGTTTACAGAATAAATATAAATTTCTGTGTAAACTTTGGTATCCATATACATAATCAAGAGTATAATACGTAGTTACATAAAAAAGATACAGCATTTCAAAAAAGTACACTAATGAAAAAAATTTGAATCACCCTGTATATGAAAATATTTTAACTTTTTTCCTTTTCATTTTGAGAATGGCTTATTAGTAACAGTTAGTAATTAGATATACTTGGATATATTTTTATGTATCAATTTAAGTCAAAGTCCATAGTCAAAGTGGATTAGAAATATATTTTATACAAACGTTAGTAGAAAAAAAAGTAGAAATACACATAATTCGTTTAGTCTACTATGGTTTACTACAATCCTCGCTAACTAGTGAACCCGTGGTTGTTTATAACTTATGTTTATAATTTTAATAACACAAAAGCACAAAATAAAAGTACTGTATTGGATATTCTATTATATTATGGTCGAATGGCCCTGGCAGCCCGGGCCGTTAAACTAAAGTAATGCCTAGAAGATTTTGTTTCTAACCCAATTTATTCCGACTTTTGACAACTTCAGAAAGTATTGACTTTTTAATGACTCATATGTTATCTTTTACAACAGAAAGTTTATAATTTTATTATAAATTTAAATACCTACTTCAAGAACATATTCTTTATTAAACAAGTTATATGTTTGAAACCGAAATTAACACAATGTCGGGTAAAACCACAATAAAGGGTAACCCATCCCAATACGTAAAATTAAATGTTGGAGGCTGTTTGCATTATACTACTATAGGAACCCTAACTAAACATGACACAATGTTAAGAGCAATGTTTAGCGGTAGAATGGAAGTTCTCTCAGATTCTGATGGTAAGTTAGATCAATTATTAAAGAGTTTATTTAAGATTCTATCTGTATTTTAGGATGGATTTTAATCGATAGATGTGGAAAGCATTTTGGTACAATCCTCAACTTTTTGCGCGATGGGAGTGTGCCTTTGCCTGAATCTAGTCGTGATATTGCTGAATTATTAGCAGAAGCTAAATACTATTGCATTGCTGAATTGGCAGAATGTTGTAATAAAGCATTACAGAAAAAAGAAAAAGGGGAGCATGAACCCTTGTGTGTGGTAAATACTTATAGGGACTACTTTTATTATTTATTATTATTTATATAATTTGTTTGATAGGTTCCTTTGATTACATCAGTTAAAGAAGAAGAAACACTAATTAGTTCAAATTCTACTAAACCTGCTATAAAATTGTTAATTAATCGTCATAATAACAAATACTCGTACACTTCAACGTCTGATGATAATTTGCTCAAAAATATTGAACTTTTTGATAAACTTTCCTTATGGTATAGTAACAGGGTTATGTTTTTGAAAGATGTTATCAGTACTAGTGAGATTTGTTGTTGGGTATTTTATGGGCATGGAAAGAAGGTATATTTAAACTTTATATTTTCAACTCATTAATTCTTATGTATTATTTATGGTATATTGTAATGTCGGAATTATTATATTTAGGTGTCTGAAGTTTGTTGTACATCAATTGTTTATGCCACAGATAAAAAACATACTAAAGTTGAATGTCCTGAAGCTCGTATTTATGAAGAAACTTTAAATATTTTATTATATGAGAATAGGAATGCTCCAAATCAGGAATTAATGCAAGCAACTTCTACTAGAGCTGCTGTCAGTGGAATGTCTTCATATACTAGTGATGAAGAAGAGGAACGATCAGGTATTGAACGGTTAAGATCCAATAAGAGTAGTAACACTAGCTGATTTAGAAAGAGCAGATCTCTTACAAGATCTATTAAAGACTAATTATCATATTTTAAAATATTCTATAAAGCTGTTGTGAAGTAGTTGTGATGGCTATCTTAAGATTTTTTGTTTTTAAATTTCAAGGTTTTCAGAATTTGTCTTTTTAAGTATTTATAGTTAAATATTGTCCAGCTAATTAAAATATGTATTACGTTTATTTTGAAGAAAAACTTGATTTTATTTAAAGTTGATTATTCGATAAACATCTTTTGTACATACTTATCTACTTTCTAAACTTAAATTTAAAGATTTTAATTTTTAACTTATTCAAATTAAGTTTCAGTATTATGTAAGGGAACAAAAACATTTTAGTTATTAATGTAGATAAAAATACCTCGACAATAGTTATGCATGGATTATATATTTTTTTGAATTTATAATATAGTGTGTTCAATGTCTTAATAGGATTTCTGTCTAATGAATGTCTTTTAACATACAATCTTACATTTATATTAAACAATTTTATATCTGTGCTAAAATTTAAGTTGTGAGCCAATAGTTAAACAAGGTTGCAAGTCATACATTTTATTTATATGTTATTTAAAGTCAAACTACATGTCTATGTGTTAAAGTCTCAGGCACTCAATGTAATTTCAGCTTATGTACATTATTCATTACCAGAGTGAATTAAAACTAAAAATAAATGATAACTTATATAACTTTTAAAAAACATCATGTCTTAGTCTTTTTATGAAACCCTAATAAGCAATTCCATCTCTACTAAGTTGTACTTAGACCAATTTTGATGATTTTTTAAGCAATTTGTAGCTAACTTACTTTAGACTTTTTAGTACCTCTTTCAAAATTAAAAATGAAAATTGCCATCTCTCAATTATACGAGGGAAAACAAAATGTTGATATTTTGGTAACATTTTGAAACACTGTTGAAGTACGTTAACAAAGCAAGGAATTTAAAAATCATTTTATCATCATTTTTTCTCGATAATTTGTTTTTGGTTCATCTTAATAGCTTAATTTTTGTTGGAGATATTCGTTTTTGAACAAAAGACTAGCATTTTTAGTATTTTTTACATTAAACCACACCTTTGATTTTGATCCTAGTCAACAGACCTATAAAATAGTGTTTATAACTTATGTAATGTCACTCTCTCAAAAATCATTTATTATTGTCTGTTGGGCAGTTACTCTACTAGAGATGTTCTAAGTCCAAAAGTTGATCTCTACTATGATTAATTGAATTGATACTTCAGAACTTTAAATCATCTCTTTTAAAGTAAACGTCAATAAACAATAATACATAGATAAATGAAACAAGTTTAGATTGGAAAGTGCCCATTAGGACAATGTAAACACTATTTGACGCTATTCTTGCAACAGTCGCGACTCAAAGCTTTTGAAAATTTCGGAGCGGTTCGGCTTTTTACGGAATTATATCGCCAAATAATGTTTATTCATTATTATTTTCTTTTAATTTTATGAATAAAATACAATGTGTTGCATACAAGGAACTTTATTTTATATAAGGACATGGTATGAAATACCTATGAAACACTGGAAACCGACTTTACGCCACGGTCCACAATGGTTTTTGCAGTTCACAGTTCACAGCACAGCTTTTTAAGTTTTTAATGCCACTTTTTCACAATTATCACGGATTTGAGTAAATAAAACTTAAATTAGATTCCTCGTTAGATTCACAAGGTAGCAATAATTACTTGGAAAATGGATGCTTTAAACACTTTTTGGAATTTTTTCAATGATGAGCGCTTTAGATTTTGAAAGATTTTATAATTTTTGAAGAATCTGACTTTGATTAGGGACAAGAGAAAATGTTTTCTGTTTTTGTTTGCGGTCGTTCATAGCAACCACTATAGTAGCGCCAGATCGCCTACAACGGTCGCGACCCAAAACAATTTCGCGACCTAAAATTTTGACGGGCATTCCAATCTAAATTTATTTCCTTTATCTATGCAATAATAATATGAGTTTTCAATGACAGTAACAAACATCATAAACACTTTTTAAGAAGTGTGTTCGCGAGGAAAAGCAAAGGCATGCTTTCAATGGTAAAATTGCTGTAAATTGTTACTGTCTTGTTCAAAAGTATCTCCAATAAAAATAAAGCTATTGAGACGAATCAAAAATAATACTATCGGGAAAAGACGTACCTAGATTATAAAATTATTTTTAAATTACTTGCATTGTTAATATATCCCACAGGTTGCTTTAAACTTTTACTAAAATATCAACATTTTGTTTTCCCACGTATAGTTGACAGATGGGAACTTTCGTTTTTAAATTAAAGAAATATATTTTAATATTTTATTGAACAGATTACAATATTTATCAGTTTTTAAAGGCGAAAACAAACATTGGTTTCTTAAATAGGAAAAAAAAAGGTACTTGGATTATTTTCAGGCAGTTAGTGATATATAATTCTCTTATATAAATATATGGACGATAGATATTTTATAGCCATTTGAGGACACTCTTCACCTCTACCTGAGGGTAATAAAAGTTTAACTATAATATGTATATTGGTGTCCCATAAGATATTTGTATAATATAGTTGCATTACAGTTAAATATTGTAAACATTTTCTTGCTATAATTTATCTAAGTTATTTTCATTTAAACAATAGAATTGGTTGTAAGCAGTTAGTCATTGTTTCTAATTAATATTAACATATGTGGTGCATATAAGTGCCATATATATATACATAAATGTATATCTGTAAATTTAAGAGGTTAGAAAATAATATGTAGGCGGTGCGTATTTGAATGAGACAGATATTTGAATTGAATAAAATTACTGTCTAATAGCTGCTGAATAGAAATACCCTTTGAGCAAATTGTTTTATGTTCAAGCTGGTTTTGGACCTCGATATGTAGACAATTAAAATTTAATAAATCTGATCTTATAGACATTATTTGTTTTTGTTATCTAAGGCGTGCTTGATCTTAATACTTTTGATTATACTGGTTATCTTCATTGACTTTTCTTTGTTATGTATGTATTCTGTTTTAAATGTTTATGAATCAAATTAATTTTTAGTTTACTTTATCTTTTTATTTTTACTTTCTTGTTGACAACGTTGCATGTAGTGTGACTGTATAATTGTAGCAGTTATACAATATAATAAAACATGACCAAATGTCTGTGCTCATAAATAATTAATTCTTATGAAAAATGACATTAGAATTTTTATGTGCTACTGAATTACTCATAATTATGCAAATATAACATTTTAAATTAAAAAGGTCTCTTTAGTGTTTGTTATTATGGTGATGAGTTCTAATCTTTCTCAGACAATTAGTCCAAAAAATTTTAGTGGTTGTTTTAATTATACTTTATACTTAAGAGTTAAATATACATTTAAAATTTATAGAATATCCTATTCTTGTAGTATCAGGTCAAAGAGTATTAACAACGTAACCGTAAATTAGGAAAAATATATTCTAAGCTTCTTTCAGAATCTTGAAATGCTCACAATCGTGCAAATACAGCATTTTAAATTAAAAAAATCTCTTTAATGTTTGTTATCCTAAAAGAATTACTGGAATTGGATCATATTTATACTTAAGAGTTTATGATCATTCAAAATACAATTAAAATATTACAATATCCTATATACATAGTAACGGTTTGCAGTAATCAGTTTTATCCATAGAGCAAGCTCAATAATTAGTTTAGAAAACAATAAAATTATATTTATAACCACAATTTCTCTTGACGTATTATAAAGGCCTTTGATAAAGGCCAAAATGACATTAGTCGTAAATTTTGAAGTAAAATTAGTAGAAAAAGTTAAGAATTTGTTAACTTTCTCTATTATCTGAAAATTACCACCACTAATTTTGACGTTTTCTATTCTTACATTGAAATCAGAGTTACAAACCTGTACGCTAATTGAAACCATTAATTTATTCCACTAATTTCGAGGTTATGAATGAGGCTTTAGGACTAATATTACATGTAAGATTAGATTAGCCATTCAATTTATTACCATACCCAACCATAGTTATTTACATTTTGCATGCAATGGGATCTTGCAACCTTGTTAGCACCCCTTAATTTTGGTGGATCGTGTATTGCATCACTGTGCGACTCTGTATGTTTCAGCGGTGAACTGAGCCCGGCCCCCTCACCGTCTGCTCACCGCCCACCACCTCCATCACCATTACTCACCCCGTCCGCCCGCCGCGCCACCTGTCGCTTTTTTGCCGTTGCTGTGTTGCGTGTTGCGTTGGTTTCCTCGCGCTCTTACCCCCACCCACCCTACGCAACCTGATTAATCCGATTAGAATGGTACGTACACCTGTAGTACGACTTATATGACTTACCTTAGTTTAAATATACTAAAAGATACCGTCCGCCAAAATAGTAAACATAATTTTGCCCGACAAAAAACGTCTTTGTTTACAGATATAGCTGCAATTAGGGATCGCATTATGGGTTTATCGATTTATCGGTTGCTTGATTAAATGTTCTAAAAACGCGGTAAAATATTACCGGTAAATCGTCTTCAAATACCACTTATTTCGGTAGTCATGAAAAAAAAAGCCAAAAGCCAAATTTTCCAGAACTCAAAAAATGTTTGAAGCTTTTATTTAGAACTTTTATTACGATTTCAATAGATTTATTACAATATTTATTGTATATTGGTATTATAATTTCTTAATTTTTCTTACTGTTTTCAAGAAATACTGTAAAATAATAGTTGGAGTTAAATTGCGCCCTTTGAATAAAAAGATTAAGGAAGGAGCATATATCAAAAATCTTAGTTTATCAGTGCCGTTCAAAGCGTGTAAAAATATGATGTAGAGTAGACTCAATAATTTGTTGTTTTATTTTACGTTGTGAATAAAATATTGGTACCTAGTTATTAAAATTGTTATAAAAATATACAATTCTAAGAAAAATAGATAAGTTATAACATTTATTTATTAACACAAACATCCGATACGCTACTGAAGCAGCTAAGTTTGACGTATCTAGTATCTAAATTTTTTGACATCTAGTCTTTGACGAAATTAAATAAAAGCAAAAATGCAATAAAAAATATATATGTAATTACTACACGTATGTATATTAGTAATGTTGAATTTAAAGGTGGGGAAATAAATTTTACTCTAAAATGTTATTGCTTTCTTAAATTTATACAGGGGTGCCAAAAACGGCTGATCAATTTTAAGGATTTATTTTATATAAAAACTTTGTTAATTCAAAAACACCCTGTATTTTTTAAAACAAATCGAAGCAGATTCAAATGCTCTTTCAAACAACATTAGGGTTTTCTATACCTGTCTAGCTTAGATTTTGAATAAATAGCGATTTTTCAATAAAATGGCTATCAAGATGCCTGGTATCGCCTGGTATCGCCATGGCATTTTTAGAGACAGTTAGTAACTATTTTCAAAATCTACATTAGTTTATGGACATTATTATTTACATTTATAACAGTTTACTTAAATTTACCTGCAATAGTTTAATAAGTAGGTATTCATTATTTTATCAAGAAAAATAAAGCTGTATCTGCTAGTGGAACAAATGGACATGTATAGTAACAAAGACAGTGTTACAAATACAATGTAATTACTAGTGATTTTATTTTGTGAGGAAAATTGCTTCTTGGCCTCAAGGGATTAAGCTCAAAGATATTCAAATAGAAATCTTCATGATAAGCGTTCCTTTGAAAAACTACTTGTCCT